GTACCTGGGGGTGACGAGCGGTGGGGAGATGAGTTACTCTGTGTTTTAGTTAATGTGCCGAAAGCAAGAGGACCTGCACTATCACAGATCATTCTCTCCCCCAACAGCTTTATTGCTACCCTCTATCAGCATAGTTAAATGCTAGTGAGCTAAACTTTGTTTTTTTGTGGTGGTGTTGTACTTTGTTTTGGTTGTTATTTTAGTTTTGAGACTGGAGGGCAAAAGAGGTTTATTTCAGAGTTTATTCTCATGCATATTTAAGTGAATCTTGTTTGGAAAGTTTTTGCTTGTTGGAACGTATTAGGAAAAAACTGCATAGCTGACAAATCATAAACCTCGGCATTAAAAAGACACATCCATGCCTGACGCTGCTGCACCTTAACTGAGGAAGCACATTAATTTCTCTGAGCTTGGCTTCTCATCTGTGAGAACAATGGCAGCTTTTTTTGGTGTAAAAACAAGCACTACATGAAATTGTGTGCAACTCCTGTACACGTTCTCTTCCTTTTTTTCTCTTTACCCTGAATTCACGTTTTGCCATAGGAATTTGAGCAGTAACCCACGAGGCAATAGTGAACCGTGGTTATTGGCACAGTGCATTTTTAGTCCATTTAGCCCTGATGTGAAAGAAGAAATGACTTTAACAGAATTATTTATAAAAGTAAATTGTTCTTTCTAGTCCCTCCAAAACAGAGGTAATCAGGTTGTACTTAAAACCTGCTCCTTTATGATGAGCTAGGAGCAATCTCAAGATAAAATGTTCCCTCCATTTTTTTTTTATTTTTCTTCAAGTTAACATCTGCCTTGAATTTCCAATCCTAAGTAATTAGCAATACAGCAAATTTCTATCCCTAAATTATGAGGGAATTAAATTTTGTCTTTGATTAAAGTTGACAGATATTGGGGGGGACCTTTCAATTTGAAACACCATAGTTTAGACAACTCATATACTTTCATGCATACAAAAACAGAATTGATACATTATATAAGTAATAAATACAATATAGAAAAGGGTGGATGCTTTGTTATCTTTTGGAGGAAAGAACTCTACCATATTTGTTTGTAAAATTTTAACTGTGAAAACTTTGTCATAAACCTGGACATACGACTGTCTCAATAGCTGCTCTTCAGAACATATATGAATTACCCAGTCCCGTTCTAGTCCCGTACTGTCCACAGTGGATTATGAGTTGTATTTGATAGAAATTTTGCTCTCTATTCCATTTTTAACTTTGACCATTTTGTACTCATTTAGAAAGCAAACAATCTTATCAAAACATTAATAGTCTTCAAGATTAATAGTCAACTAGAAAAACTAAGGTGCATTCAGTTACTACTATTATGGACACTATTTTGATGCTCATGAAAGAGATGGGAATAGAAAACGATCCACAGGTGGTGGCTTTTCAGCGGAGCCTTGAGGGATGGGATGTTATGGGAGTGGTGTAGAGTGGCTGGCTGTTGTATATTAAGAGCATGAGCAAATCACAAATTTAAAGAAAGTTGAGTTGAAGTGTGGCAAACTGTTGCATTGGGTGTTGACGTGAAGTTCACTGGGGCAGTTGAAGACTGGCTGGAACACCATGAGGTCTTAGCATGCCTGTTTGACGTAGTGATGTGCACTGTGACCAGTAGGGAGGATGGAATGAGACTGAGCCTTGAGGATTAAGGACTTTAGAAGACAGTGTCAAGTAAGATATCATCCTGCAAACCACATACTAAGTTGTCTTGGAAAAGATAGGTGAAGCCTCTACCCTGCTAGAGAAAACTCTCAACCTTAATGGGTGACCAGACCATTTATGTCCCCTTTCTGCCATGCTTTCTCATTATGTTGCTACACAATGACCCACTAGTGTAAGTTTAGGACTTTGTTCAAATGGTATGATGTAATGTTGGCTTCCATTATTACTGGATTCTGGAAGCATTCAATTCCCACTGCCTCATTGCCACCACAGTGCACAGTGCAGTCCATCATGCTCCCTCACCTCCCAGTCCTCACCTTTACCCTCTAGATGCTCTAGTTCTACAGGTTATCATCTTCCTACTTCTGACTTCTTTTACTTAGCTTACCCCTTCCAGCTCTATCCATGTTGCCGCAAATAGCATACTTATACATATGTATCTATTGTGTCTAACACATCTTGATCCACTTATATTTTGGGGCACTTATTTATATATATCTATATATATCTACATATATATACACACACACACATATATACAATACACATTCTATATATATACACACACATATCCATATATATAAACTGATTATTTGTAATCAGTTTTATATATGGACTTATATATAATCAAAACATTTTCAGGGTTTTTTTGTTGCTCTGTTCAGGACAGTATTCTTATAAATTTCATGGTTTAAAATGTCTTGGCAAATTTTACTACTAGACCAATGGCTTCAAAACAAAACAAAAATAACACCTGGAAGAACCCCATTCCCTTCTACTTTTGTAAAACTTCATTAAGAATGTTTCTTTCTTGAATAATATACAAGTGAAGCCACATCAGATTGGAATTTTAATAATTGGAATAAAATATTTTATGATAATTTTCATTGTCATATGTGAGGCTCTACAAGTTGTTTTTGAAACAGTTTTGGTGAGTTTTCCTTTTAATTGTCATGGAAATACAAGAGGCATAAAATGTAATTCAGTATTTACATATATTGTGAAATGATCACAATATCTAGCACCATGACATAGTCACTTTATTTTGTGATAGAAACTTCTTAAGACTCTCTGTCCGGCTGAAATTGGTTAACAGTGCTGATTACTGTCTCCATAAGTTACTGGTTAAACCCCCTGCTGGTATCTTCTGAGCTCAGGTTGGAATTTTCGGTTCCATGAATGTGAGATCATACCATGTTGTGTGTACGTGAACCACAACACCATTTTCTTTACACACACTGTAAAGCTTGTCACTTGGCTTTTGTAAATGTGATATTTCAAGTTAAGTGTTTACAGATTGGCACTCATAAGTAAAATTGCTGGCTCATGTAGTTGTTTTTGAGAAACCTCCCATTGTGTGGACACTAACTTAACACTCCCACTAAACAAGGATTCCCTTTTCTCCATGCTGTAACCAACACTGTTTCTTGTTTTTAATAACTGCACTTCTGACAGGTGTGAGATTTGTGTTTTCCCAGTCATTAGTGGTGATGAGCACCATCTCAGATGACTTGTGGTCAGCTGCATTGTTATCTTTGGTAAAATATCCATTTATTAACTGGATTAGGTTTACTATATGAGTTTATTATATATTATGGTTATGAAGCCCATATTTAAGATGATTTACAAATCTTTTCTTGAAATCTGTAGGTTCACTTTTTGTTGGTTTCACTTGCTGTGCAGAATTTAGTTTGATGTGGTCCCACTTGTGTTTGCCTTTTGCTATCTGCGCTTTTGCTGTCATGTCCAAAATATAACCATGAAGTCCAATATCAAGGAGTGTACCTGTCTATTCGAGTTTTATGGTTCCAGGTATTTCATTCAAGGCTTTAAACCATTTTAATTTTGTACATGGTAAGAGGGAGTGTTCTAGTTTCATTCTTGTAAATGTGGGTGTCCTGTTTTCCAGCACTTTTTTTAGATTTATTTATTTGTACATACAGAACTGGGGTACAGGCCAGAGGCTCAGGGGCAGCGAGAGACGCCCCCAGAGACAGAGTGGGGAGCAGAACAGGCAGATTGACAAAGTACACTGCTGAGGGGAGCAGCAGGCGGGCCAGGAGAGGTCTGCCACGCCATGTGGTCACCTCCAGGGCAGGTGGGAATCAAACTCATGCAGAAATGGCTTTAGCTTCTTAGTGCTGTGCTTTAACCCACTGCGCCACCAGGGAGGGCCCCTTCCAGCACACTTTTAAAGGGACTTTATGAAATACACATTTGCCACCTGTTCGTAAATTAAATGACCTTGTATATGCACTGGTTTATTTCTGAACACTCTCCTAGTAACTACAGATTTGTTTAAAATTGGGTATAGGACTTCAGTTTTGTTTTTTCCCAAGACTACCTTGGATATACTGGGTCATTTATGGTAACTATAGAAAATTTAGGCCTTTTTTGTTTGTTTCTGTGAAAAAGCCAGGTATTTATTGGGCTTGAATTGGAGCTGTAGATTGCTTTGGGCAACATGGTCATTTAAACAATGCAAATTCTTGGCAATCCTTGAGCATGAAGGATCGTCACATTCATTCATATATCCCTTACCTTCTTTCACAAATGTCTTACAGTTTTAGTGAACAGATCCTTCATCACTTTTGTTAAATTTATTCCCGTGTTTTTTAAATCTTCTTGATACAATTGTAAATGAATTATTTTTGGTTGTCAGGTATGTGGAAATGCTGCAGATTTTGGTATGTTGATTACACAGCCTGTAAACTTTAGTGAATTCTTTTAAGTTTTTTTTGAGTCTTTAGGGTCTTTTTTGAGTCTTTAGGGTCTTTTAATATGTAATGTCATATCATCTGCAAAAAGCAAGTTTACTTTGACCATACCATACTCTGGTTTCTCTTCATATTATACCAACCTTTCACCTTTTCCTTCCCCCTCCCAAATTTGGGTGCCTTCTCTTTTTCTTCCTTTGTTAGGTAAATAGGTTTTCTTTTACCCAAATGCAACAAGGATGTTGCACAGGCATGAACTCCCATGATAAAAGATTAAAAGGACAATGATAGCATTCATAGTTTATTAGAAAAACTCTCAAATCAGTAATCAAAGCTTCCATAATAAAACTCAGTGTTCAAGGCAAGCAGAAAGAATGAAATAAAACCAGAAACCAGTGAGTTACTAAACAGATTTATCAGAAGACAAACTTCTTAACTAGGAATATAGAACTTGAAGATATCGAAAGGACAGGGAAGTACCATGACCACTACACACAAGTCTGACAATTAAATGAAACAGCACTGATCCTAAATGAAAACAAACCAATACTAAACACAAACTGTTACAAGTCACTATGAAATAATTTAAAATGGCCCTGTAACTATTAAATTATACTCATTTTATTTTTCTATCAAGCCCCTCCCCTCCAGTCCCAATGGCTTCATTCTGCCAAATATTACATAGAATTGGGGTTAATTTTTTAAAATTCAGAAAATATAAGAGGGAATATCTCCTAGTCCTAGAACAAAATAAAGAATGACATTTACAAAAATGTTATGTTTGAGGATTTTTAAAAAATAGAATTATATATAAAACAAAGTAGGGGAACTAAGTAGAAAATCTGTTGCAGAGGCAAATAAAATCTAGTAATGTGATAAAACACTCAACACCCAACAAGCTTTTTATAAAACACTAGCTAAAACAGAATTAGTCAAATTTGAGTTGTAGTTAAGTATACTATACACTGATGATGGTGAAATGACATAGCAATCTGCAACACATTTAAAAAAAACAATCTGTTATATTGCTACTGGGTTCCTGGGACCCAGCATTTACAGCTTTGTTCCCTTCACCTTCCACAGTGGATAGCTAACTGCATATTTCTTTCAATGTGTCCAATATGAAGTTACCTGGCTGTTATCTGACAACTAGATTCATGTGAAAATGAAGGATGAGAAATGTTAAACTTAGGGCCAACAAGTATGAGCATGCATCAGGGAAAGGATTACATGGTACTAAGACATTTTATTTTAAACTCATGTTATCAAGAAGGGACATGGGGTTAAAATAATACAGGCAAGCTCAGTATTTTCAGGACTCGAGTTTGGAGACACTGTTCTGGTGAGGTACCTAGAGATACTGAGAAATTTAGGTGGTATTCTTAGTGTTTACTAACCCCATTCCTTGAATTCTTACAAGAATCATCCTTTTGAACTGGGAAACAGAAGACACTAAGAACTGTATTAATGGTCAAGTCCTTAAGGTAGAACAGCGGGATCCATTTCCATACATGTCATAAATTAGGAAAAAGACAACCTGATTTAGTCTGATTCCTCCATCCTCATTCCTCAACTGTTATTGATTAGATTAAGAAAATCTCTGAAAATACTGTACTGCAAGTTTATCAGCAGTCGAGAGCAGCTTCTCCAAACTTTTATTAAAATTCTCAAGATTTTTAAAAACTTAAGCATATAGAAACATGATATTCAAACATCATTAAAAACAAACATCATTAAGATGAGAAATCTCTGAAGATGTGTTTCCCATCTGAATCTAAATCTGAGATTTAAATCTGTGTGTCCTCAAGGTACTAACCAAAATAGTTTTTTGAGTCCCCTTTTTAGGGAACTCAGCTACTTGCTTTGTAATTCTTCCTTACCTGAACAGCTTTATTAGCATAGTACTTTAGGAATTTAACTAATTAAAAAGCTGACTATCAGCTACATATTTATTCTATAATTTCATCTGTCTCTTTGTATTTTCACATTTATAAACAGAATTTAACACCAAGCAGGTATCTCAGGTTTCATAGTATATAAAAAAAGTTGTATAAGAAAACATTAGACATATATAAAATCACAGCCACAGTAATTGGACCATAGTTATACACACTAAGAGGAATCCATGCACATTTATAAGTGATTATATAAAGGAAGAAAATCTGGGTTAAGTAATAAAATAACATGAAATTTTACATAAAGTCCAAGCTTTTAAAAACTGTTAAAAAATCAGGTCACGGTGGAATAAATTTGTACTTTAAGCTTCCATGTGTGATCACTTGGGTCCTTTTGCCTTTGACTTTGTTTCCTTTGGAACTTTCCCATTTTGACATTGAGTAAACCTAGCTACTGTAGAGACACCATCCACAAACTTGGTTTTAAAAAGGACGTTGGCATTGTTGAACATTCCTTCTTTAAGGGATACCACAATAAACTTAAAAAAGAGAAAAGAAGCATAAACATTTTTCATAATGCCCTTGAAGAAGAGTCATCCTTTAACACTGGGGTCAAATTTAGAACAATTTTTGGAGATGTTTTGCTATTTCTTAAAATGCTTGGCTTTAAGCAATGGAAATTCTCAAAGAAAGGAAGTAGTGTTAAGATGAATGAATCCTAGCTTCCTACTCCATTTCAGATGTCTCTTAATTTTACCTTGACTGCCTCATTACCCATGTTTTCTACTTCCTGCTGGTTGATGCTTGTTGCTAGCTCTAACTACTCTTGTAAAATATTTTTCTGTGGTATTTTAATATCAAGGAAGGCCTCAAGTTCTACAGCACTGCCACAGCTCAAATGGAACATTTGTACAATTTAAAACAGGTACCACTTACTTCACTGTTAACTTGCCCCCAAAATGCTCAGCATTGCTAATCATGAGTGAAGCGCCCAGAATTGTTAGCTATCTAACCCATATTTTGCAACCACATTTCTTATAACAACTCAAAAACTATTCTTGGCCTCAAGGGGTGTTTCTCTATTCTTAGCCAAGAGAAATTAAGATTCCTCTATCAAGTGCCACATGGCTCTGATACCAAGGCATGTCCCTGAAGCAGTCTTAATAGCGCATCTACCAGGAGGTAAACGGCAGAGCGACTCCATTACCTAAGTGAATGCCAAATTACAAAAACATTAGATTCTACCTCATCTTACAACCAACAAGTGGAATTAGTAAGAGCTATATGAAGTCTTAATAAAATACTTAAGACTGAGGAGTATTATGTGACCACTGTAATACAGTAAACAGCTGTAGAAAAACTGAGACATCTTTGCTCCTGATTCTCACCTGAGAATGTGTGAAGTGAGTGCGCAGCATCTGTCCGATATTCTGAGTGTGAGAAAGATCCAAGGCTGCATCTACCTCATCCAGGATGTAAATCGGGGCAGGTTTGAAGAGGAGCATAGAGAGTATTAGTGACAAAGCCACTAAAGACCTAAGGAAGGATCAGAAGAAATGCCGTCAAACTTTATGGGACCCCTTTTTAACCAAAACACTGAAGAAATCTGCTATGCTACTATAAACAGTGCAGGTTTCGCTGAAAGATAGCCGTAGGGAAAAAGGAATCTTCAAACTTCAACACTTTGGTTATATATTAAAATATTTCCTCTCGAGTTTTATTTTGAACAGAATAAGTTTATAATATTTTCCGTCATGATCAGGGAATTATATTTGGTGTCTACCGGCTTAAAAAAGTAGACTGAAGTCAGCTGGTTTTAGGGCATTTAGCTGTTAACTAAATTTTTGTTGACTAAAAGTTCACATACTGATTAGTAACTAATCTTTCACTTTCCTTCCCTAATTCTTAGATGCCTATGGGGTCAGGTGATTTAGGGCTATATACCTATAAACTACAGCTTTATTGGTATCATTTGAGAGAAGGCTACAGATTACGGCCCATTACTCTAAATATAATCCTTATGTGATGGTTAATTGTGTCTATTTGACTCACAGGACAACTAGCTATTTGGTTAAACATAGTTTTTATGTGTATCTGGGGGGTTTTTCTGGATGAAATTAGCATTTGACCTGATAAAGTACTTTGCCTTTCCCAGTGTTGGATGGATTTCAGGTAGACCTAAAGGGCTGAATGGGGGCAGGGGGGGTGTAGAGACACAAAAACAAGGGTTGGCAAAGAATTTTCTTGTCTAATTATTTTACTTGGGATACAGATACCTGCCCTTGGCACTCCTGTGCTGGTTTGTATGCCATTCAGATACAGACTACAATCTACACTGCCAACTCCCCTGGAGTTAACCTGTGACTCCAACTGAATTACATCACTGGCTTTACTAAGTCCCCAACTTATAGGTAGCAGATTGTGGGGTTTCAAAGTATCTACAATAAAAGGTAGCAATTCCTAGTAATGAATCTCTTCCTAAATATATAAACTATTTTCTCCAGGTAACCTTAGCACACTTACTTAAAATTCAGTTAGGCCTGTTCTTATATTCCATAGTTCTTTTTTAGTTCTCCTTAGCTAACCACACCTCCCTTTTAACTGTAGCTGTTTTCACTCTAACTTGTTATTAAGGAATCATATTCTTGAAATTTCCTAAAGAAGCCTTGTTTATTTTAATATATTTAACATTAGTAATACTACAGAATTTTAAATACCTCCTGACATTCAGCACTAGAAAACTAGAATGTAGCATTAGATTAAAACTAAAGTATTAAAAACATGTAAGTAGGGCAAAAAGTATGCAATAATGAAAGTCTAGAGGTGAATTCAAAATTTTTAGGAAAGGAAATGAAACAGTGCAATAAAACACATTAACTTAAAACTTTTTCACTGGCTTTCTGTGTCTAATACTTAAACTATAGAACTTTTGAAGTCATTTAAAAAAATCTCACCAATTTAATCATGGAAATAATTTCTAGGTCCTTTGGAAAGCAGCATATACTTCCTATTTTCCAGGATTTTGACAGAAACAATTCAAGATACTTGGATCTAAATTGGGGAATTCAGTTTTGGTTAATAGGCAGAACTGCCATTTGAACTAATTAAATATCAGAAAGAGTGGACTGCTCATAAAATATGAACAAGTCTTACAATTTTCTAGTTTTTTTTTTAACATATGGGGCACTTGAGGACAATTCAAGGACTGTACGATTGTGGAGCCTTGAGGTTTAGTTTAATAATCATCTTCAGATATATGACTATTTGCAATTTTTGTTTTTTAAATTAGCTGGTTTTCTGCAGGTAAGGAGCTGGACCACATGATATCTTAAGTTTCTAGCAATAATATATTTGGCTGAGAAACACTTTCCTGAAGGCCACTTCATGCCCTGAGAACTTCCTGTTCCGCTACTATGGATTCTTCCACCTTCTATTTTCTGAAAAAAATTATTTATATTGCCTATAATTAGAAAAACATTAGGTATACAATCTAGAATAGACTTTTTTTTCCTTTCGCATTTTATAGATGTTGGTCCAGACATTCAGCCTGCAGTTTTTGATGACATATTCAAAGTCATCTTTCTTTGTTTTGGTCCATGGCACTAAATAGGCATGCCTTTTTACTGATGGTATATAACTGCTCAGTTTTAAATGGCCTCCTGTGCTGTGTCACTGTGGAGGGAGGTAGCAGTTATGCATGCAGTTATCCTTCTTGAGTCTTACTGAACACAAATCTGAGTTTAATTAGTGCCATTATTTCTTCAAGTAGTTTTCTGTCTTCCCTCCAACTTCCCTTCTGGAAATCCAATTACATGTATGTCAGAGAACATGATACTGCCTCACAGGTCTAGGGAGGGCTGTTAATTCTGTTTCTCAGTCTAGTGTAAATAGATTCATTGCCACATCTTAAGATTCACTCATGTTTATTCTGCAGTGTCTAATCTGCTGTTACTCTCGCATTGGTTTCAGCTTGTTTATAACTTTTACCTTTAGAAATTCCACGTAATTCTTTGCTAGCTTTCACATCTCTCCTCTTCTTACAACACACATAAATTTCCCTGCAATCTAAAAGTAGAACATCACCTATTTGCTAAGATTTGTAGGTAATTAGATCATGGAAAAGTTTTAAACATTTCCAGACCCAAAAAAATAAGCTACCAATTATAATGAACAGTAATACTACTTTTTGAAATCAGGAAAGTCTGTAATTTTTGACAACAGTACATTAACTGTAACTTCCCAATAGTTTCATCACTTGTCATTTCTGGACTGGCTTATGTCATATTCTCTTGATTTCTCTCCTTTCACTAGATGTCTGACACTGTTGGCTTTATGTTGTTCATAGTCTTAATTTTTCCTTGTGTTGGTCTTTGTTTTGATAAAGGTACCTGAAAGCTTCAAGTTCTGAATTTAGGGGTGTATGTCTAGAATAAAGGTTAGTACAGACCCAATGCTAAGATGTTGCTCACTGGGGCCTCCCAAACTTCTCATCTTGTTTTTCTAAATTTGAGACTCCCACTGGTTCTATGCTCTAGGGGGAAAGGCAGAGTGAACACTGGGCTCAGCATTTTTGTTTCATTTCTCTCAAGTGCAGTACTCTTAGGCTAATCATTTTCCAATGTTGAAAGCAATTATTTGTCCTATTTTTTGCTTATTTGGTAGTTACCCTTTTAATCATATTCTAACCATAATATACCCAACGTTACATATTAGATTCCTTAAATTCTACATGCAAAGATAAAACTAAGTAAGGCAAAATAAAAATGGGAGGCAATGAGATGATAAAACTAGTAAAGAATGGATACTCACCTCTGGCCTCCACTAAGTTCAGTTAAATTTTCTTTCCAAGTGTTTCCTAGGGCAACCTTGAACTCCAGACCATCCAAGACAGTCTGCCCCTCTGGTGGTGCAAGCATAGCATTGGCACCAGGCAGAAGAGTAGAAAAAATAGACCCAAAGTCCTTGTTCACCTAGATGAAAAAAATGGTATTAAAATCTCAGGTTTGCCAAGAAGAAACATAACTTGGTATGTGTACATGCAACCTAGCAGGTACCTTGTGATGGCATAACATCCAACAGCCAGATCACTGTCTTTTTTATATGCTTCTCCTTATAACCAAAAAGAACAGGGAGAGGACCCTGAGAGAGGCTACAGAGACCAATTAGCTTACCCTGAACAAGTCACATTAGGGACCATACATAAATTCTTTAGCTTGTAACTGGATAATTTTGCACATAGTGACCAAAGAATTGAGAATCCAGTCCTCTCTTTTTAAAGATATGAGAGATATTCTTAGTTAACTGAAATCTCGAAGTTAAAGTGCAGGGACAAAACTCAAGTACTAATATACACCTTTATATTGGTAATAACAAGGAAATCTCCTAATCACAGAGGCATTCTGGGGAGGATTGACTGATGGTCTGCATACTTTCATAGGAACTGTATGCAGAAAAGCCGGGTTCTAGTTTTACCTGAGACAGATTTTCAGATCTAGGCAAAATTGAGCATAAAGGGGAGAGGGCAACTGTCTAATGAGAGTATAACATTTAAAACACCAGCGCCAGAAGTACTCTTTATGAATTAACGATGCTTTGAAAACAAAAGCAAATATGAGGCTGATAATAGTTCTTGTACCCTAATTATAGTACACTGAGGATTAAACAAGAAAACTAATATAAGAATAGTACCTAACAGAGGGTGGTGGTAACAAGAAAAAAAACAAAAACACAAGAGGCGGGGTTGGGGGATCCTGCCATCTACCATTACTAACATGCTTTCTGGAGAACCTTGGAACCTGAGGAGATATCAGTTAGAAAGATAAATTTAAAATTGCTCTAAATCCAGGAACCAGTGGGAAAACGAGAGACAAAAACCACTCTTGCTGATAAATCTACATGCTGTATAAAAACAATGGGCCAGCATCTGCATGCATTTTAAATACAGAAAAATACTACAAAGAATACTGACACTAAGCTTTAGAGCAGGAGAACCACGACTGGAAGAGGCAGAGGCACATCCGTACAGAAAGTAAAATCCAACAAGAAAAAGAAGCACAGGCTTGTTAAATACAAACAGTACAACATTTATGTAGTATCTCCACATAAGAAACCAAGGATATCCATGTAGTCGGAAGGAGAAATAATCATAAAGAACCCTGAAATCTGCCAAAGTTGTTATAAAACAAACATGGCAATTGGTATTTTGTTGAATAAGAGTTCATTAAAAGTGAAATAAACACCCTTGTTTACTGTAACAAGGGTGACAGCAGGTAGCAACAAAAGGCAATTTTAGTTCTAATTTAGAAAAAATTTCCCAGCTTTTCTCCTTGTGGACTATATAATCTTCCATCTTTCTAAGCTTCAGTTTCTTTACAACTGTCAAAGTGAAACAATTATTAGTTCACAAAACACAATAATTGCTTAATCTGTAATATGTAACTATTAATCTAACATGAACAAAATGATTGGCTAAAAATTTACAGGAGATGCATTTATAAATTCTGAAATTCAATTAATAATTTGCAAGTATTTAATAAGTCACAAATCTTGTTCTAGAAACATTCTTAGAGCACATATCTAGCCTCTTTTGAGTATAGGAAAGAGAAAGTACAAGTGGATGGTTGCGGGGAGCCTTTCCAACTGACAGTGTGCCCGTGTCAAGCACAGAATGGGGATAGGACAGATAATATGGTATACAGAAGTCTCCTTCAAGCCTAAGACTATGGTTTCATGGAAAGGAAAGATGACAAACTGCATACCAAGGTTAAGAATGATAAATGGAGAGACCTCGAAAATTTAGCCTAACTTGGGAAAAGCAGATAATGGGAGCATGGAGTGGCACACACTTACCTCAACAAACTGATAAACATTTAAAGACTAAGTTTGAATGAAGGTGAAAGCATACGCCAACTTTAAACAAGGTATTCCTTTACATACTTTCAGTATAAAATCCGATGGATCATATTTTGTTTCTGACTCATACAGAATAAATGCTATTTTTGGTTCAAATACCTTTTGCCAAGCAATATTTAGGGCTTGGTTTTTCTTCTGGTCAAGGTCTTCTATAGTTGCAAGGATTTTGGATTTGTCATTTTCTACAATTCTCTTCTTCTTCATCAAGTCATTGTACTGAAAAGATAAAAAATACACTTCATGAAACTTTTCCAATTACATTCTAGAATTTAATAAGAAGTAGAGGTCACATTTGTATATATTATGTACTTCTATTTACCAGTAAGATATACTCTCCTTACAGTTTCACTTGTAGATCATCTATATGTAAAATTCAATAGAGAATTTACAGAAAAAGCTGTGAAATATTTACTCCATTAATAAATTATCTTTCTGGAAGCCAAGAGAGAAGTCTTAGCAGCGATATACAAGTTCTATGTAATTTGGTATATTTCTTTTTATGACAGCCTTACGGTGTTTTTTTTTCTATTAAACATAGTAGGCTCATTATAGATGTATAGAGCTTCAGTATCAGTTCTCTTACTGCAATGTTCTTTCTCTATATGTAACGTAACCATTAACTCATGTTTTACTTCAAACATGTCCTCAGAGTAGCCTTCCCAAATAGTTTAAAACTATTAAAAAAAAAAAATTGAGGCTACTGAAGGATAATTCTAGCATGGACACATTGTCAAAGTTTTCTAAAGATCCTCTTATTTCTCCTCAAAGCCCCACCACGGCTGTTCTCCTTTATGGCCAAGCTCCTAAAACTTCTCCATCTGTTTATATTATTCCTTGAATTACTATGTGGACAGACTCAAATTACAGCAAAAAAGAGGTCATATGCTGAAAATGGAAATAATCTCTGACAAAGATGGGAACTGTGAATTTCTGAGTGTGTAGATATATGTTGCAAAGTTTTAATGGAGAATCAAAAACCAACAGGAAATTGGAAAGATGGCAACACTTTCATTAGTTTGGTATTTTGATAAGATATTCTTAGTAGGTAACGTTACTATACACTTTCTTGAAAGTAATTAAGTTCATAAGTATTAACATTTTCATAGAGCTCTCATTCTACTGGAATACATACAAATTCAAACAAATTTTGTAGTATTAAAGAAGGTACGTACAGAATAACTAAGATTTCTTTGTATTATGGAATGCTCAAGAATAGGGTCTATTTTTGCTCCTGGACACTCTTAATGGTACTGCAGACTAGAGAGTTCTGTCATGGTAAGAGAAAGAGATAACACTAATATAGTATAGTCCTAGTATATAGACTATGGATTGAAGGGTGAGGAGACCCAGTTTACTCTATTTTTCAAGGCCTTGAAAGGCAAACAGAAGAGTGAGGGTGTAAGATGATGAAAAATTAGTGTGTTTATTTACACTAATAGCACCAAATTTGATGGCAAAGCTATTCAAGGTACAACAGAATATACAAACTGATAATGCAAAAAGAAGAAAATTAGAACTGCAAAGAGAGAAGGGGAAAAAGTACTAAAGACATCAAATAAAGAGTGACAAATCATTACTGTCAGAAAGAGCTCAGAGCCACCCATGTACCAAAGATGCCAAGATGGTCATACGAAGTACTCACCCGCTCTTCAGCTTCAGTCAGTACATTCATAGCTCTCATGTTGACATTTCTTCCTAGTTTCTCCTTCATTTCTTGCAACTTCTGAAGTCTCTGACCAGCTTCTTTGGGGTTGTTAGTTTTGAAATCATAGGCACTATTCGGATGGCCAAAGAGGTGTTTCTCAGCATTAATCCAGTCATACTCTTTCAACATTTTGGATACCTGGCCACACACAATAGGATTTATCATTGCTTATAAAAACCCTATATTTAGAAACCAGTTTCTTAAACATTTACTAATTGTAAAACATTCTGGAGAAAAATGCCATATAGTAACTCATTTGGAAAAAAATAAAGAGGTTCACTGTTGACAGGTATGATGATTATTTTTATCTTTAAACACTAGAAGAGCTAACTGATGGGGATGTTATTACCTATACTTAAAGGATTTCTCTATTAGAATGAAATATAAGTAAGATGAGGCATCGTGAAATGCTTACAGTATTATTCCTAAAATTATAACTTTAAGTAAAAAGATCTATGCTAAATGTTGACACCCCACCTCTTCTTTTGCAAAGTCACATAATATTCCTGATTAAATATTTCAAATTATAGTGCTTCAGAAATACTTTCTTGAAGTGTAGATGGTTGTCACTGCAAATTAATCCTTGTCAGTTTATCCCTAAGGACATGGTCTCGCCTTTGTACTCTAAAATGATCAATTTTAGTCTTCCATTCTAGTTCATGAGCAGTATTTCATAAACTGTTTTAAAGAATCCTTGACTTTTGCTTTGCTGTCCCTTTAAAGTTCCTCTTTTCTTTATCAATAAAACCCCCAAGCAATCACTAGTCTAGCATTTTCAATGACCAAAAAACTATAGTAGTGCTAGCACTGATAATCTCGGTGAATCTACTAGTTCTAGGTTAACAGTCATTAAAAAATACTTTTTAAACTAAGTAATAGTCATGACTCTTTATGATGTTAATGAAAGGTTAAAGCACTGAACTGTTACACAACCATAAGAAAACATAATAAATGAATTACTAAAACTATACAGATACATACCATTGAGTTTCTGCAAAAGCATGTGTCTTCATTAAAAGTACTTAAGGGTCAGTGATACATGGAAAAAACTTTTTTAAATAGTGAGGTAACCTCAAAAAGGTAACTGTTTGCAAAAGATCAGATTTTAAATGAGACATCAAAAATTGACAATTATTGGATTTCTGTAAGGATGTTCTAAGGTCAACTAAGTTCTTACTTTAAAAGCTGCCAAGTAATGTGTGCCTCTGAATTCTAAGTTCAACATTACCATTACACATTCATTACTAATTCTGTAACTTGTAGATAGGATTAAATAATTAAAATTGAATACTAAACATTAGTGACATGTAAACAGTACTTCTGCCATTTATACTGAGTGTTTCAGGGAGCAGTTGATATTTCAACCCAGAAGCAAAAATTTGATTAATGGTAAAAATACCCCACTACATGCCTTTGCAGCAGCATCCTCCGCTTCCCGTTTATGTTTGCTAATGTTGTGGTCCAGTTCCTTAATTTTGAGCTGTGCGTCGTTGTTTTGCTCTTTATATTTTGCCACTTCCATATATTTAGCTTTAATCACGTTGTCTTGGGCTGTTATTCCTTCTTTTTGCTTGGTCACCTCTTCTTGAGCTTTATTTACTAATTCCTGAAACAAACAGTATAGTAAGGTAATAAAGATATTTTTAGTTTACTGAAAAACCATTTAGCAGACTATGGGCAAGATGACAATGATAACAGGCATATGGTCACCTAACCCTCAATATTTTTATGTCTTCATTAAAATGTCTAATGAATTTACAAATAGGAGAATACCACTAGCAAAAAAGGGGTGCGAAGCAGTATCCACACTAGAAGCAACATGTTTCAAGTGACTTAACTGGAGGGAGGTGAGACTACTAGGTCTCAGAAAAGTGGCATTTTTGAGTACTCTAAGCATGTCCCAAATGACATTTATTGCCTCTGCTAGGTAAAAGTAAAGTCAGATGGAATTTGTTCTTGTCTGCCACTGGTAAGGTCCATGTATCTACAATCAAAGGTCACAGAATTTGGTTCTAAACAGAAAAGATTGTTTTAAAAAATAGATTGGTGGTATAAAGAAAACCTTGCTTTGATTTTCACTACCCCTGATACCCTAAAGTAAAGCATGCATTTAATTTACCATTATCCACCCCCAAAGTCCCTTTACATCATTCCAGGTCTTAAAGAGTTCATCAATTCACGCAGCTGTCTAAGACCAACTCATATTAAGGAGAAATGAAGAAGCAGAACTGTGAGAAATACAATCTCCATATGTGATTAAAGGCACTAGTAACAATTAGGCAATAAAGAACAATTGACATTATGATTAGCTAACTGAATGAGCCCAAACTGCTTAATTCTTTGTAATGTTTGTATCACAGAGGTTTTTTTCTAAGGAAGATAAAAAATCATTGCATTCTCTAAACCCCAAAGATGACTTAGGTGTTTAAATCCTTTGAAGACCAAGGGAAAAAAATAAGTTATTAACATTAAAGCCGACAAAGTCAGTAAGTTTTTAATGCCTAAAGATTGCACTGCAAGTATAACTTACAGATAATTAAATGGCCATTTAATTTCCTCATTGTTTCCTTAGAAACTGTTATCAACAAAGAGAAATTACAATGTAAAGCCTCAACAAAATAGCTTTAAAACTAAGGGATCCGGTCCTCCCTGGTGGCGCAGTGAGGTTAAAGCACAGCACTAACAAGCTATAAAGCCACTTCCGCATGAGTTCGACCCCCGCCTGCCCCGCCTGCCGCTTGCTCCCCACTGTCTCTGGTGAAGCCTCTCGTCGCCCCTGAACCTCTGGCCTGTACCCCAGTCTGTATGTACAAATAAATACATCTTTAAAAAAAAAAAAAAAAAATAAGGGATCCATTTTAGTTGTAACACTAAAAGACTTCTGCTAATTAATCTGATGTGTTAGAAATAATCTCAAGAGAAAAACATACCAATGCAGAATAGTCAGCAAAAGGCAAAAAAATATAGCTATAGATATGCCCTGTTCAAGTTATGTATTTAGTTAACAGGAAAATCAATGACAGAAAACTTGTTACAAAGCCAATCACAAAAACATCTCTAATAAAGGTATTAAACTACATTAATTTGCAGATGAAAGCCACTCAGTCCTAAATCTACCCTTGCTGAGGCTTTACATTTTAATTTCTCTTTGTTGTCCTGATCATCTCTCCCCTACCAGCTTCAATGAGATTAGGCACTAGAGACACGGGAGAAGGCTTTATTTCCAGGATCCAATGCGCTTTCTCAAAGCAAATTGTCATGTGCCAGGGTTAGCACAGCTAATCGTGGCATTCTGGTGACACAGCCATAAGCAGGGCACCTATCTGTGGCCAGTATTTCCAGATACTTCGGCCAAATTCACTTCACATCAGTGGACCAGTTATGCCCTTTCCAGATAGATGTAGTGCTCAGCCCTGAAGATAGAGTGGGGGCTCTTTTTCAGATCTGTGCCTCTGCAGGTCAAATGCCTCAGTCCTACTGGTAATAGTTGTTCCCTGTTTTGTATCTTTTAGTTTACCTGTTAAGAACAATGTAAGAATGATTATTTAAACTTTGGTCTATTCAGAGGGTTCCTGAGTAAACCCTGACTAAAATAATTAGCAATATTTCAGGACTCTTTCTGGATCAGTAATACTCAATTTTACCTCTCCCTCAAGAATACAGAAATGGAAGCCACTAAAGTCCAATATTCAGACATTTTATAATTATTAAGATTTACTTAAATTGGAAAAAGTGCACGTTACCTTATTTTTAGCGACCTCAGCAGCCATTACTTCAATCTGACCTTCATAGGATCTGACTGCTTCATTTACAGCTTCAAGTTGTTGTTTACAGGATGCATGCTCTCTCTTGAGCTCCTCCAGTTCCAGAGTGATAGCTTCAACTTCCTATAAAAAATAAACACATTGTGAGCATTAATTGACTATTAACTACTGAAACAAATGTATCCATAAACAAAATTAGTAACATTCCTGGTAATTAAGAACCATAGGTCATTATTAAACTGCTTCCCCTAAAAAGAGGGAAAAGGATAGATTTCCCCCCCATCTTTGAACTTTGCAAAACTTAATTCTTCTATCCTTTTGCAGATCTTCCTCAATCTACAACAGAGCTATTCCTGATAAACTCAATAGAAGTTGAAGACATCACAATGTGAAGGGAGCTGCATCACCACCCAACTCTCATACTGAATACATAGTTTTCACACCACAATCAAACAAGGAAAAGCCTAAATTGAACCATCTTAAGCTGTGATCGTCTATATTCCCACAGGGGAAAACAAGAAACAGACCGATAAATACAGGTAAACTTTCTTCTTTCTCAGTAGGCATTTCAAACCACTTTTCATTGTTACTTAATTTTTTTTTAACACTTCCTGGTTGTCACTATTAAGAGCATAAAACAGTGAGAGAATTGTGATTTAGACAGAAAAACCCAGGTTTAAACTGAACTTTGGCACTATTCCAAAGATATCAGCTATAGTCAGATTACAATCAGAGTATTTTACCAATATAACATGCTTTTTTTTACACGATTTCTTTCACAGCATATATATTACCACATAGAAATGTCAGTGTTGGTAATCACATACCATCAGTGCCATCCTTACAATTATGATACCTGGTTACTAGGGTTTTCAAAGTTATTTTAAATTAATGCCCCTTATAAGAAGCAAACTTTGACCTGACTGTGTTGACATTAAAAGATTGGTTTCATTGTAAGAAAGGTTATTTACCTGTTGCTTTTCTTTCATTTTCTTGCTAGAAGCATCTGCTTTTGTTTTGGCGCAATCCAGCTTTTTCTGAGCATCCTTTAGTTCTCTCTCTCTCTCAGCTTCTGCATTTTTCATTTTATTCTCCAATACTTCATATTTTTCCTCTGCCTTTTTTTGGATTTCTTTGGTGTTTTTTAATGTCTCCTCACTGTCCTCTACATCACAATGTAGGCACACGTGGTTAAATAAGGTCTTTGAAATATTACGTTATTGATGGTAGCTTATAAACCCAACTTTTAATGGAATAACAGCCTTCAAAGTCTAATGTTCCAACCTTATTCTAGAAAGTGGTGTTTACAAACAGCATACATTAATTACCCAAAAACCTGTCAAATTATTTCTAACTATATCACGTAACAGACTTTAGGTATAACTTACAACTTATCAAAAGGTAACAGCTCATTTTAAAATATACCTGCAAATTCAGAAACCATAACTGAGTATATAGTAACTCATGCATTATTTTAGCTGCTAGAAAGCTTACAAGTAATTTCATAACCAAATACTTTGTTCTTTTTTTCTATTCAAGCCTCTTACTAGAGAGATACTCAATATATTATCTCTAAAATCCCAAGTGAAAGAACAAGCATGTTGGTGCTAAAGTATATTATGACCCTCAAAGTCATGAATGTGCTAGTAGTTCCTGTGCTACTAGTTTGTCCTAGTAATCTGTAAGAACCAGACTCTTGTATAAAAACAATGGAAACAAAGTAACTCAACAGAAAAAAGGCAAAGGGGACAAATGAAAAAATTCACAGAAACAGAACCCTGAAAGGTTCCATGAAAGTATAAAAATAGACCCCGCATTTTAACAGCAACTAGGGAAATGCAAATTAAAAAGCTAAAGCACTTTTTTCTTTTCTTTGCAGCCATAAGTTTGAAGAGAATTTTACGTGTGGAAATGAAACCATTTTGAAAAATAAGACCCTTCCTATGCCACTGGTTAAAAATGAACAGTAAGCTTCAACATCATGTGAGATTCTTAGAAATAGCAACTTTAAATTTGGAGACAACTTTTTGCTGCATTTTTATTACTACGTAACAATGTTGAAAAGGCATTCTAGGATCTGTTGTGTACTGGTGCAAATGGGCAAAACCCTACAATAAACCTGGAATAACTCAAATGAATATAAACTTGTTGTAATATCAAAAGAAAGGTTGTTAGTAGAAACAGATTAAGCAAAAAATGTTTTCATCTCACCGATAATTTTTTTAAGAGCATCTAATTCTTCTTGTTGTTTATGATAGGAGCTTTGCTGGAGCTTTGTTTGTAGTAAGTCTGCCTCCTCAGTTTTCATTTCCCACTGCTGCTTTAGTTGGCGGTATCTTAGTAAGAAGTTTATTGTAAGTGACAAAATTTCTTTGAGATTCAAAGTACAGGTTCTTAACTATACTGAATTCACAATAAAAACTACTACTGGTAATAAGAATAGTTTTGATACTTACTTCAGGGGTCTCAATTAAAAGGGAGCCTGGCAGTGATCACTGAAGGCAAGCAATACTAAATGACCCAGATCCATGCTAGCTAGTCATTTTTGGATGGTCTTAAGCTATAAATTCACAAGGCAGCCTGATTATAAAGTTTGAAAGGAAAAGCTAAAATAACTTAGAAAAAAATATTCTTACCTGAGACTACGAGGCAGCAATTAAAATTGTAATTTTAACTTCATTTTTCAATTTGTTTTAGAATGTGGAGTGCAGAAATTTTAAAAATATACCACATTACTTGATATGGCCCACAGAAGAATGGCTTTAGTTGACACTTCCAGTTTTCAAAATCTATTTCTAAGTCAAATATAACAGATTCACTGCTTTCCTAGTTTGTTTCCACAGAAAAAGCTCATTTTACAGTAATGAAAATAAAACGCAGGTTTTATGTATGATTTTGAAAATACCTATTTTGATACATTTTGGAATGGTTGCTCTAACTGACAAGTGTTGTGTACCACTAAACTTTGTAATTTCAGAAGGTGACTGCTAAAAATTTGCTAAATTTCAATTTAATGTTTTAAAAATAATGCTGAAGACTGAAATCAAACTTTATTAGCTCAATTTCCATTTATCATCTTTAGAGGGAGTGAAACCCAATCACAATTAAACTTCTAAATAATGACTTCATAGGTGAGCGAGCTATAAACCTGATCCTTTTAAAGCAAGTGTAACTATCCTCTAGGATAGCACATGGTCACTTCACTCACACCTTTTAGGTTTTTAGTCAGCAGTCATCTGCATGAGCTTTCCCTGACTACCCAATCAGAAATTTCCCATATCTCACCCTGGATCAATCATATCTCCTACTGTTTTATTTTTAGATCTTAGCTTTATTTAACATGCTTTACCAATTTAACATGCTTTACCAATTTAACTTCTGCTTGTTCCTCCCAGCCCTATGAAAGTGAGATGAGGAATGTCTGATTTACTGTTAGATTTCTAGCACCTCTAAAAGTTGCATAATAAAAGGTTAAACATTTCCCACTATGAAAATGTAACTACAGTTAAAGTATACATACATTTATATTTATACCCACTGCAGAATACTGTAAGGAAACAGTTTTAGCAATGACCTTCTGGCCTCCTGATCATCGTTGTCTAATGCAGTTATACTGCTAAATGTAGTATAACTACATACACTGCTTTTAATAGTTTTAAATCAAGAACTGAAGTATCTACTGGTACCTTACGTGTTTCCCCACCAATTGTTGCAAAATGTTGAGCATAATCACAGCAGGAAAAGATTATTTGCCTGATTTTATTCTTTTGCTTAAATGTCCTTATCAAAAAAAAAAGGGGGGGGGGTATGTGATAAACAGATTACCAAGTCAGTATTTCCAAATACTCTAAATACGCTAAATAAAACCAAGGATATTATGAAAAATGTCACAACTTGTATTTTGTATTTCCCTCAAAACTTTGTCTCCACTCCCTCCCAAAAACCCACAGTCAACAGAAAAAAGTCTTACTTCTCAGCAGTGTTTTTAAGACCTGCTAATTCCTCTTCTAGAGCCTGTAGTTCATTTTCCTTGCTTCTCAGCTCATCTTGAACATCTTTGAGTTCTTGAAACTTGGTTAAAATAGAAGCTGCCTGAGATCGAGCACCTAATGGTTGGAAATTCAAATAGGTCTTAGATAGACCAATAAAATGGAAAGCTACTTCTCTGAAAATAAGCTTTAAAAAGGTATCCAACATAAGAAAACAGATCTTAGATAAAGTAAAGGTAGACTTTATCATGGGTTCCAGAAAAAAATAACTTGAAATAGATATAGCTGTTCCTCCTAACCCCAAGAAAATGACAAAGAATATCTACTTGATGCACTTTGTATTTCCAGCATCTCTCTAGAAGTATACAACAGTGAATGTTACAAAATAAAAGGTTAAACAGCATTTCCAATTTGAAAAATAAATATGAAAATATAACTACTGTTAAAGTATACATAACATCTACAGTATGTATGTAATAAAATAAAATTTGGGTGCTTTTTGTTACCACATAATCATTTGACAAGTGAGAAGCTAAGGTGTTATGTTGGCAAGAAAATACTGTTTTTGATGGGAGAATGTGATAAACAAGTGTTCACCGCTAATTGCATAAAATACAGGTACATATTTGCTACATCCAAAAGCAGGAATTTCAAAAGCATCAAAATCAGTAAAGTAAACCTACTGATGATATTTTTAGAAAGAAGGTCTATTTTCCAATACTAGTTATCGTTAAGTTGTACAGTAAAGAACTTGATCATGAGATTCCTTGTTTACTTAATGCCTTTCTAGACCAAGAAAACAATAGTTAACCTAATAGTACACCTCAAGAATAAAAGAACAAATGAAGCTCAAAGTTAGAAGGAAAGAAATCAAAGCAAAAGTAAATGAAATAGTCTAGAGAAATAGAAAATCACTGAAAATAAAAGATGGTTCTCTGAAAAACAAAGGACTCAAGTAAAATCAGAAAGGCATGTTCCTGATGCACAAACAGAAAAGAGGATCTTAAGACTACTACAAAAATTATGTTACCAAATTAAGCTAGAATACATACATACAGCTCATCAGAACTAAATCATGAAGAAATAGAAAATCTGCATTGACCAGTTACTAGTAAGGAGAAAGAATCAATTTAAACTCTCCCAACAAAAATCCAGCACCAATCAGCTATTTTAGAAAGTTGTACCAATATGCAATCAATTATGAATACCAGTTCTTCTCAAACTTTTCCAAAAAATAGAGGGGGAAATAATTCCAAATTCATTTTTACCAGCCCACCAACCCCCCTGAACTAAAGCAGATAAGGACATCACATGTGCAGTTAAAGATTATGAATAAAAATACACTCAAAAATAAACAACTAGTGACAGAGGCTATTGAAAGCTCAGGTCCCAGGCATGTCCAAGTGGTTGGGACACTGGCAAATGTACAGACGTAACTAAAGTCAAAAGAAACTTAAACCACACTAGAAAAAGTCACACCCAGACTGACAGGCTTTGTTAATCGGAACTGCAGTGGCTGAAACCTAGTTTGTATAAAGTTGACTTTACGGTAACTTTTCCTTTTTATCTACAGAACGATGATTATAGACTAAACGTAGTCATACATCTCTTCTTCCTAACTACAGTTCTGAAGCTTTTCACTATAATGCTGGAGCTGTAAAACAAGAGCTGTAACACTTCTGTGATAGCCATGCTGTAACCCTACAGGTATTAACAGCGTTGCTGGAACTGGACAGCAATCCACATACAGGTCAGTATTCCTCATGAGATGCAAAAATCCTCAACATATTAACAATTATTAAATAAATTAAGGATCATACATTATGATCATCCAAGTTTACTTATTCTAGGATGCAAGAATACTTCAACACCCAAAATCAACACAATATACCTAACAAAATGCAGATAAAAATCACGATCTCGGCCCTCCCTGGTGGCGAAGCGGGTTAAAACACTGCACTAAGAAGCTAAAGCCACTTCTGCATGAGTTCGACCTGCCTGCCCCGGAGGTGACCACATGGCGCTGCAGACCTCTCCTGACCCGCC